CCCTCCCCTCCCCCTCCCCTCCCCCTCCCCCTCCTCCTCCTCCTCCTTCTACATAGAGACAGGGTCTTGCTCTGTCTCCCAGGCAGGAGTGCAGTGGTATAAGCAAAGCTCACTATAGCTTTGAACTCCTGGGCTCAAGCAATCCTCCTGCCTCAGCCTGCCCAGTAGCTGAGACTATAGGTGCACACCACCAGGCTAATATTTTGTTTTTGTTTTGTAGAAAAAAGGTCTTGCTATGTTCCTCAGGCTAGTCTCAAACTCCTGGCTTCAAGTGACCCTTCTGCCTCAGACCCCCCCAAAACAAAGGAATTACAGGTGTGAGCCATCCTGCCTGGCCAACCCCAGTAGCTTATTTTTATACTTAACATATAATGTAAGTACTTTACCAATTTCTTGCGTGATCTGGCTCCCACCTACTTCTGGTTTTGATTTTTTTCTTTTCTTCCAATACTCGTCCTCTTGCCCACTAGACTTTCGGTATATTGGCTTTATGCTTTCTTTGACACACCAAGCTCTCTTGCACTTCACAGCCTTTGCACTAGCTGTCCTTTCTGGATTGCTGCTCCTTGAGTATTCATATAGCTGGTTCCTTCTTGTCATTCAAATGTTACTCTCAAGTGGATTTTCTGAACTTCCTCTCTGAACCAGCTACCAATCGCTTAATTTGCTGCGTTGCACCAACTGCTATCTGGTATATTTTCTTTTACATAATTTGTTTCCATGCTTGTTTTCCCCCATTAGAATGAAAGCTTCAGGAAAATTTGGTCTTGGTTTTATTTAACGATGAACCCCAGGACCAAGAACAATTCTTTTGCTTAATACATATTGTTGTCTTAAAAACAGTAAAATGTTGCAGTGAGCAACAAAGAACTTAATAAAGAAATTAAGAGCACTACCAGCTACCATAAGCAGCATGGCCTGTTATGTTGCTAATTATGGTCAGTGTCTCCTAAATACCAACTCATGTCGACCTTAAGGATAGTGCAAAAGAAACAGTTTATAAGTGACACAACAGTTCTCTAAACACATTGGAAGTCACTTTAAAATCCCTAATTAAGTTCAAGGGGTTCAAATTTGAGGATTAACATGAAGATAGGACCTAAGGAAACCTTTCTGAGAGCCTCCTTCATTTAGTCTTGTGGTAAAACCTCTGAGACCTAAAAGACCTGTTTGATTGGTTTGCTAGTTCACACCTATTATCTACCAATAGCATCTTTGTCTTTCCTTCCAGAAAGGAGAGGCCTTGCTGCTTCCTTAGAATAGAGCAGGGAACTGCAAAATAGGAAAGATTCCATTCACTATGTCCTTAGGAATGGAAACAGTCTTCCTGAACCAGCTACACAAAACATAAGAAAGTACCATCACTATGAGAACTATGCAAACATTATGGGTACTTTAACTTTCTTGTATTGATAAACTATTTATAGAGTGGTTGACAATAAATTTTTAAAAGTCTGTGAGCTGATTTTTTTAGGAAAACAAAAAAAATGGGAAACTGGGGAGATGCCATCTACTCCTCCAATTACCCTGGGGAATATGAAGCCCCACAAAAAGTTATATGTAGCAGTTCTATAAAAAATAAGAAAAGAGGCTTGAATCTTTGGAGATGAAGTAGCTCTTAAGTGCCCCCAGGGATTAAAGATGAACTTGGAGATTTAGCTAAGAGACTCTCAAGTTTTTCCAAATCAAGTATCTAACAAAGCATATTTAATTAAATTGTTCTAAACTTCGTAATTTGAACAACTGGGATGTGATCATGAAAAGATTCTTTCTGAAATTTGTGCGTGTGTGTGTATTTTAGCAATGCTGCTTCTATCATGGCTAAAAGCAAGAAACTAAAGGTTCAGATTATTTGAAGAATCTAGATTCTCATAAAAAAATTCAGTGTCAGTTTGATTCTACAAGCTGTAAAGATTTGGCTCGTGGAATGCTACAACTTTTAAGTAATATTAGGTCAGAGTCTGATATGGTTTGGCTGTGTCCCCATCCAAATCTCATCTTAAATTGTAGTTCCCATAATAGCTCACCTGTCAAGGGAAGACCAGGTGGAAATAATTGAGTCATGAGGGCAATTTCCCCCATGCTATTCTCATGATAGTAAGTTCTTACAGGATCTGATGATTTTCTAAGGGGCTTCCCCCTTCGCTCAGCTATCATTCTTCTTTCTCCTGCCACCTGTGAAGAAGGATATGTTTGCTTCCCATTCTGCCATGATTGTAAATTTCCTAAAACCTCCCTAGCCCTGTGGAACTATGAGTCAATTAAGTCCCTTTTCTGTTTTTCAAATCACCCACTCTTGGGCATGTCCTTATAGCAGCATAAGAATGAATTAATACAGTAAATTGGTACCAGCAGTGGGATGCTGCTATAAGTATACTTGAAAATGTGGATGTGACCTTAGAACCGGGTGACAGGCAGAGGCTGGCACAGTTTGGAGGGCTCAGAAGAAGACGGGAAAAATGTGGGAAAGTTTGGAACTTCCTAGATACTTGAAGGCCTCAGAAGACAAGAAGATGTGGGAAAGTTTGGAACTTCCTACAGACTTAGCAAATGGCTTTGACCAAAATGTTGATAGTGATATGGACAATAAATTCCACACTGAGGTGGTCTCAGATGGAGAAGAGGAACTTGTTGGGAACTAGAACAAAGGTGACTTCTGTTTATGCTTTAGCAAAGAGACTGGTGGCATTTTGCCTCTTCTCTAGAGATCTGTGGAACTTTGAACTTGAGAGATGATTTAGGGTATCTGGTGGAAGAAATTTCCAAGTGACAAAGCATTCAAGAGGAAACAGAGCATCACATTTTGGCAAATGTGCAGCCTGATGATGCAATAGAAAAAAAAATTCTGGGAGAAATTCAAGCTTGTTGCAAAAATTTGCATGAGTAATAAGCTGAATGTTAATCACCAAGACAATGGGGAAAATGTCTCCAGGGCATGTCAGAGACCTTCCTGGAAGCCCCTTCCATCTCAGGCCCTGAGCTGTAGGAGGGAAAAATAGTTTCCTGGGTGAGGTCCAGGACCTCCCTGCTCTAGGTAGCCTCTGGATGAAGCTGATGCCCTGTGTCCAAGCCACTCCAGCTGTGGCTAAAAGTGGCCAAGGTACAGCTCAGACCATTGCTTTAGAGAGTGCAAGCCCCAAGCCTTCGCAGTGTCCATGTGGCGGCAGTGCTGCAGGTGTGCGGAAGAATTGAGGTTTGGGAACCCCTGCCTAGACTTCAGAGGATGTATGGAAATGCCTGGATGTTCAGGCAAAAGTCTGCTGCAGGGGCAGAGCCCTGATAGAGAATCTCTGCTAAGGCTGTACAAAAGGGAAATGTGGAATAATAAAAATGGCAATCATATTGAGGAACAAGCTTCTTAAACAGAGGGATCAGTGAGTGCGAAAGCCCTAAATATGTATGTACCTTTTTGTTTCCTTTATTCCCACTTCAACCTATCACTCTAATTTCAAATGCTTTTCAAATCTGGCAGAGTGACCTTAATTTTGAGCTCTCCTGTATCTATTTAGTATTTCCTCTGGATTTAAGGCTCTTGTTGCTTCTTCTTTCTTCTTCTTCCCTCCTCCTCCTCCTTCTTTCTGTCTTCTTTTTCTTCTTCTTCTTCACAGTGTTTTGCTATGTTCCCCAGACTGGTCTTGAACTTTTGGGCTCAAGGGATCCTCCTGCCTCAGTCTCCTGAGTAGCTGGGACCACTAATGAAGGCTTAAGCCTTCATTACTTCTTGTTCCTCATCCATTTCCTGTTCCAATGTAACCTTTGTATGACCAAAAAATTAACCTTTCTAAATGGGAAACTGCAACATCATTCTCTTTCTTTAGTGACTCCGATTATTCACTGAACTAATATAAACTTTGAATACTAACATTCAAATCTCTTTATGGTATAACCTCAAAAACATATTTCAATTCTTCTCTTTTATACTGCTATACTCAACTCTGCTGAAACAAGTGTTCAGACATTCCTACCTCCAAAGTTGCCCATTATGTCCTCTCCACTGGATGACTGTCATCCCTTCACACCCAGTATGAGCTAGTCATAGTCCTCCAAACCCTATCTCAAATCACCTTTTCCTTTAAGACCCTTTGGATTTCTCTCTGTTTTCACTCACAAAGAACTTTTTTCCTTTCTTATGGCATTTGTCATATTTTGTCCTAGAATGTGGTTATGTGCAATGCACATCTGTCTTCTTTCTTTATAAACCTTATATTACAGATGTTTAAGACAGGGACCACATGTTATTTATTCTTTTACTAGTGTAGTGTCTCACACGTAGTTGGCACTGAATAATATTTGTTGAACAAATAAATGAGTTTGTCAAATCTGAGTCTGATTTACTAATATTTATTTCATGATATCCCAACTGATTGCCCTTTTATCACCCCTTACTCGTCCTCATGATATCTATACGTAAAAAGGCAGAAAGCAGAGAGGAAATGCAGAGCCCTTGTTTTGAAACAGTCTAGTTAATTTCAAGCTGCTCAGGTGATTAAAAGTTTATATTGAGGAACATTAAGAATACCATTTTAATCCTGCATAATCAGTACAGTATGATATAAAAACTCTCAGTGAAATACTGATTGGTTGATTTCCTGCCCAGGATATAAAACTGCTTAGCACCATTCAGTGCTAAAAAAATATACGTAATCACAAACTCAGAACCTCATACTTACCACATTACTGCATGTTCTGTATCGGATATTTCTTCCTTCACAGCTCCTAGGGTGCCAAAAGAAAAAAATTTATTACTACCTAAGAAAGTCTCAAAATCAGAAATATTTCTTATAAAAAGTTTCCTCTAAATACTAGTAAAAGGGCCTCTCTTTTCTTCTAAGCATAGTCTTAGAGGATTTACTATGAAAAATCAAATTGAGCGGATCTAAAAAAATTATGGACGTAAATTGATTTCTCTATAAGAGTTGAAACTAGGTATTTGTCTTGCTTCAAAAAATTTTAAAATAAGTTATTAGAGCATATTTAAACAAATAAACATTAGTGCAAAATTTTCTGAAAAAAATGATATTCAATGAATCCTTTCTTCTTATTTCTCATAAAAAACTGAAGATATATTTCACTGAAAAAAAACTTAGATCTTGAAAATAAATTGGAATTAATATTCAAAATATCTTAAAATCACAATTCTAAGAATGTGAAAAGCCATAATTCTTAAAAATTATTTTTATTTCTAAAATATATAGTCATTATATAGGTTTTGGAAAAGACAGGTTGCCAAAATGAAAAAAAGAAGTCCCCTGTAGTTGCCTCATCTAAAGATAATCACTATTATTTTGATTTATTTAGTCTTTTCCAGTATAAATTAAAAAAAATCACAGTATGCAGTTTTGTAGCCTGTTTTTATTCCCACTTAAAAAATGTTGGAGGCATTTTCTCACAGTATTAAATAACTTTAAAAACACCATTTTGAGAGCTACATAATATTCTATCAAATGATGTAATTTTTTCTTAATTATTCTTCCATTATTTGTCATTTAATTTATACTTTGGGATTTGATAAATGATAGTGTGATAAACCATTGCATTGCATATGTTTTATCCAAATTTCTGACTGTTTTTTAAATAAATTTCTAGGAGAATTACTAGACTAAAGGGAATGAACTTTTATAAGGCCCTTGATAAATATTGCCAAAATGCATTCCATAAAGGTTGTACCATTACATACTCCCACCAACAACACATGGGAGTTTCCATTTTACTGAATTTTTGTGAACAAAAACAATCAACTTTTGATAAAACATTCAATGCTGACACTTAAATCATGAACAACATACTGTACTATTTTCAAAATATGTCAAACATTTTTTAAAAGTAAAAATATACTACAAAATCCTGTGAGAATGAGTATATTAGTACCTCGTAGTTTTAGAATTCCAGGTACGTTTATAAGTTTGATATATGTATTAACTTATTTAGTATTCTGAAAAACCCTGAGAGATAGGATACCATCATCATATCAATTGTACAGATGACAAAACTGAAGCTTAGGAAGGTTAACTAATTTGCAAAAATGACACAACTATTAAGTTTTAGAGCTGAGACATGAAACTAGACCATCTGGCGTCAGAACTCACACACTCACGATCACAGTGCTTCAATGCCTCCTTACTTTCCTGTTCAATAAACGTCCACAGAACTCCTGTTATGTGATTGGCAATGAAATTACCACAAAGAATAGAAAGAAGACTGACTCTGACTTTGTCTTTGTTATTAAGAGAAAATTAATCATATAATTCGGCACAAGAAATGCATATAGTATTTGTATTAGGTCTTCAAAATGTTAACAAAAGGAAAATGTCATCTGAAAACACAATTATACACAGACTATCTTAACAATATAGAAAGGGTCCCATTCGTAAAGACTTAACTGTAACCAGACTCACTATATTACTATGCAGTAAAAATAGAAAAGGAATGGCTGGCCAGGCATTGGAACCACAAAAATAAGGAGCATGACAAAGACACGTGTTTATCAGTGTCCAGCCCAGCAACGACCTAGAAAAAAAGGCCAATGAATTTCAAGTCCTTCATGTCCCCTTGACATGACTGCTACAATCTCCACATAGGTGGCTCATTGCTAACCTTGCTGATGCCAATGAACGTTCAGCTCATCCAAGTACCACCCCTCATTATGGTGTCAGGTTGATCAAGCTACTTGCCAAGAGTGATCTGGATTTTCGTGACTGCTGAGAACAGAGAGTGCTGGCCGGGCTTATGTGGGCATTTTGGTCCATGTGATGGACAGTTCTGTTCCTTGCTCTAAATTAATCAACTAGCATTCTAGTTTGAAATATTAATCTCATGGGCTGAGTCATTGTGAGTACAGCCCCAAGAAAAGAATGTGTTCTTGGTGCTATTGCTGAAAAATATTTGGTTTCTGACTCCAACAGCAAGAGAGCTAGGTTCCAGCTGACGGTAAATTTCCAAGGTAACTGAATTCCACAACTGGGAGGTCTTTGGTAGCATCCCATGTAGACATCAGTGTCTGCAAATTGTGATATACTTCTCAATTTTGAAGTTCCTGCTGCATGTGTACCACAGTGCAGTGGTTAAGAGTACCCAGCTTAAAACTAGGCTCTGCTTTCTAGAATCCTCGCTCTATACTGCAGTTCTATCTTCTATAAAATACGATGATACTACTTGTCTCCTGGAATTATGAGAATTAACTGAGTTAGTATTTGTGAATCACTTCAGACAGTGCCTAGGACACAGCAAGCATTATGTAGACATTTGATTAGTTAAGTACATAATAGATACAAAAATAAAATAGCCATTGAAAGGAGGTTAAAGATATATGGAGAAGAAAATAAGCAAAGGCATAGAGGCACAGAAAAGATTTGATGTGCTTGTAAATTTTCAGTTCTGGTTTTGGGGAGTTTAGGGCTTATCTGGGGAACTGCAGTAAATGAGTGAAATACCTTCTAATTTTGAACTCTGTAATACACAAAGGGGAAGCACTGAAGGTATTAAAGCAGAGGAGATTCAATGATAAGATTTTGCTTTTAAAAAGTGAACCTGATGTTAATTATTGGGGCTTTAATACTGTATGTTTTTCATTCTTCTTTTATTTATTTACTTTTATCTAACCTTATATTCATGAAAGAAATCATGGGAACAAATCTGAATTAGGAGCCTGAGGATCTGGGGTATAGATTTTGTTCTTCAACTTGCATAAACCTCTTGCTCTCTTAGGGTCTTAGTTTTTTTATCTGCTAAATGAATATAGAAATGCCTGTGCACAAAGTTAAAATCACCAACTGAAATAATGTACAAAAGCTCTGTTCAAATGCCAAGGGATTATTACAGAGATACTGCTTCCTAAACAAAACAAAGCAGAAAAATACTTGTTTCAGTAAAATACAAAATACAAAAAAAGAGCCTTTTCCCAAATATTTTAACCTGCAAATACCTACACAAATTTTACATGCATCATTGAAAATAGGAGATATAAGCATGGAATGTAAAAGATTGATTTAAATACTTATTATTTAGGAAAAACAAACCAAATCAAAAGCAAAATAAAGAAAAAACACTTGTCATAATTTCCAAAGAATATCCTGTAATTGTCTAATGCCTAATATGGATTTGCAGATAATTTATAGATGCTTCTGAACTATCTTCCCTGTAATATATTACTTTTTTGAGAGGTTCTTTAAGTTGACTGAAATATGATATTAAGGTGAAAATGCTTAAGTATGGCAAGGTGATCATTATTGAAAGACATTATCAAATTTCGGATTATAATGGAAACATTAGCTAGTCTCTACTATATATTCAGTGCCTGCTATAGGTATATGGCCCAATGTTAGGTATTCTGCATGTATTGTCCTAATCATCCAACAATTCTGCAACTTATATTATTCCTATTTATCAGATGAGAAAACTGAGGCAGAGAAAGCTGAGGAGGCTTAAAGCTACATACACAGAAAAGAGAACCAGGGATTGGAATCTAGGCCTGACTAATTCTTAAGTCTCAAACAATAAGAAAAGGAACATGATGTGCTCAAGATACATGGTATAACATTAAGCTAAAAATCTGGAAAACTGAGAAGGGAATTGGACTGAGAGTTGATTGTACCTTGTTATTATATCAGTTTATAAACTACTTCTCAATTCTGGTAAATCTACTTCTAGAAAAACATAGGTAGACACACACGGGAACATTTCCAAGAAAACCATGCTCATCAGTAAAATGCATTGTGAAAGAACTTCGGTGCAGAGAAGTTTGTACTTTTGAAAGTTCAAATGTATTAAATTTGAATATAAATTTTACATAAGAAGCTAAGTGACTATTCCACCACAAGGATTTCATTCCTGCCAAGTGTGAATTTCTTCATCCAAGGCATTTATCTGGGCACAAAATCCCATCTAAGAATTAAGCAGTAAAAAATATTTTCCTTCTTTTTTTTTAAACAGGTTGTTAATATAAAACAGCTGAGTGACTTCTTTCACATTTAAACAAAGTAAAATTCACCTCTGGGGATGAAAACAAACATTAGAAATTGCAGTCCAACATGATGTCTGAGGAAGGTTATAGACAAATGATAAAATAGGATTTAAGTAAATGTGTCCTCTCCACATAAACTATAAAATAGTTACAGTACTCTGTTTAGGGAGTTGAGAACTGTATCAATCATGAACTCAGAAACTGGGTCAAGTATGAAACAAAATGTAGTATTAGAATATATTATAAAGATATAATATGCACATGTATGTTTCTTGTAGCACTATTCACCAACCACACACATGGAATCAAGCCAAATGACCATCAGTGATAGACCAGATAAAGAAAATGTGCTACATATACACCATGGAGTATTATGCAGCCATAAAAAAAGAAATGAGATCGTGTCCTTTGCAGGGACATAGATGGAGCTGGAAATCATTATCCTCAGCAAACTAATGCAGGAACAGAAAATCAATCACACTTATAAGCAGGAGCTGAATGATGAGAACACATGGATACATGGTGGGTATCAACACACACTGGGGCCTGGGGAGGCTGGGGGAGGGAGAGTACCAGAAAGAATAGCTAATGAATGGTGGGATCAATACCAACGTTATGAGTTGATCTTTGTAGCAACTCACGATGGCACACATAACAAACCTGCACATCCTGCACATGTACCCAGAACATAAAACAAAAGGTGAAGAAAAAAATAAAAATTAAAAAATGGGCTGGTGCAGTGGCTTATGCCTGTAAT